AAAGGCAAGCGTGTTGCCAGAGGCTCTGCAGAGGCTCCGTGGAGCATCGCTTTGTTTTGACATGTCAACAGTGGTGTTAATTGAGCGTCAGCCAGGAAAATAGTAAAACCTCCATGTAAATGAATGGGTCTCTCCAAGACTTAGCAGAGCCTTCAGCAGCGAGTCAGAGCGGTGCCAGGGGTGAGGGTTTACTTCGACTTCAGAAACCAGCCTGTTCCTCTCAGGCCATGCGGGTAAAGGGGTTTTTTTGTTGTTGTTGTTGTTGTTGTTTTGTTTGTGCTGGTCATTAACCAAAAAAAGCATTTTGAAAGAGCAGCAAAGCTATTGAGAACGTGACAAATACTTTCACAGTATTGCAACAGTTTTATTTTCTGCATCCTAAAAATGTTTAACGATGTTAGTCTCAAAACTCCAAAGACTTCAAAGCTGCTTTAATGAAATGACACTCTTGACTTCTGGGAACGTTCGGCTGTTCCTTAACTGGCTTAGTTTCCCCCCCAGATTTCGGCGAAATCTGAACCTCCTGGGGAGCAGCTGGCTGAATGCAAACCCGTACCCTTGCATCCTTGGCCAGACAAAGCCCTGGTCTTGCTTCTGGCTATTTCTGCCTGTCGGAAAAGGACCTGGGGGTGCTGGTCGACAGCCGGCTGAACATGAGCCGGCAGTGTGCCCAGGCGGCCAAGAAGGCCAAGGGCATCCTGGCCTGTATCAGAAATGGTGTGGCCAGCAGGAGTAGGGGAGTGATCGTGCCCCTGTACTCGGCCCTGGTGAGGCCGCACCTCGAATACTGTGTTCAGTTTTGGGCCCCTCACTACAAGAAGGACGTCGAGGTGCGGGAGCGTGTCCAGAGAAGGGCAACGAGGCTGGTGAGGGGTCTGGAGAACAAGTCTGATGAGGAGCGGCTGAGGGAACTGGGGCTGTTTAGCCTGGAGAAGAGGAGGCTGAGGGGAGACCTCATCGCTCTCTACAACCACCTGAAAGGAGGTTGTAGCGAGGTGGGGTCGGTCTCTTCTCCCAAGTAACAAGCGATAGGATGAGAGGAAACGGCCTCAAGTTGTGCCAGGGGAGGTTTAGATTGGACGTGAGGAAAAATGTCTTTACTGAAAGAGTGGTGAAACATTGGAACAGGCTGCCCAGGGAAGTGGTGGAGTCCCCATCCCTGGAGGTATTTAAAAGACGTGTAGATGCAGCGCTGAGGGACATGGTTTAGTGGGCATGGGGGTGTTGGGTCAACGGTTGGACTCGATGATCTTAGAGGTCTTTTCCAACCTCAGTGATTCTTACACTGGCCGTTCATGTTAAAATGTATTTCTGGCTTTGCTCATCGGGAAAGTGTGGGGCAGCTGTAGCCCAGCTGACATCCGAGCAGCAGCCCCACGACCAGTCTCCTGCACCAGGGTTTATGCGTTGGCCTCCGGCGCTGGCTCCCGGCTCTGGTTTTGTCTTAGCCGGTGCGTCGTCCCCGGCTCTGGCTATTGCGGGGGCTAGCGGAGTAACGTCCTGTTGGAAGGAGGCATTTCGGTGCCGTGATGCTGGGAGGGAAACCTGCCGCTGCGCAGACGCCGAATGCGAGTGACTAAGGCTTTTTCAGCGGGAGCGATCGTCCTCCGAAGCCTTTTCCCTTCTGCCGAGTCCTGATGAGCTGTGAGTGTGAGTTTTGCAAGTTGGCGAGAGAAAAAGGAAAGTGATAAAGCACGAGAAAACACTTCAAAATACTTCCGACCAGTCTGGGTGGTTCCTGAGGGTACTTAGAAATAAATACAGACTTAAAAGCAAAGGCTCCTCCTTTGGGCTCAGCGTAAAGGAGGAAGAAGAGCAGACGCCGTGCCCATTTCCCTGCACGAGCAGGTAACTTTCCATGCTCTCCTTTATTCCCCGGGAGCCCGGATGGCTCTCCTGCATCCCGCACCGGAGGTCCCAGCGCTCGTGCAGCCACCCTACGGTCACCGGGCTGCGGCTTCAACGGCTGTCACCCTAATTTTCTCAATGGCTGCACCCTAATTTTCAGGACCACCCTAATTTTCAGGACGCCTTGCCCGGTTTCCTTTAAGCTGGCTTACGTTTGGGGAATGGCAAACCCCCTCCAGAGGATGCTCTCCCCTTTGTACAGTTGTTTTGCTTCGAACAGATGTGTTTTAGCTGCCCGGCTGTGCGCTGCTTTCCCTGAGCCCAGCTGTTGGAACTGCTGCTCACGCAAGGCTCTCGGCCAGCGGCGTGCGGCTCTGTCCGCGCTTCACCATCAGCCACCTGCTTTGGGAAGCTGCCGCCTGCCCCTGGTCCACGTCTGCGAGGCTCCAGTTAGTCGGACAGGGCCGGAGGCCAAAGCTGGAGACGTTTTCTGCTTGGGGTGAATGACTCTTCCAGTTGCGGTGATGGGGGCTGCGCGCGTGCAAGGGCCGCGTCGCTGCTCCGTCGCACGCCGGTGGGAGACGGGCTGGCTGCGCCGCGGGGACGGACCGAGGGGAAGGCATGGCACCACCTCGGGCTGGGTCTTCCTGGCACCGGCGGCCAGCAGAAGTGAGTCACCCCTCTGGGTAAGGCAGGGAGGGGTGCGCAGGGGGAGCCGGCTCTTGCCTCTGCCTTGCCACATCCTCCCGGCTTCCCAGGTACGAGGGATCTATCGCAACCCCGGCTTAAATAACAGCTGCTGGGAGGGAGGCTGGAGCCGAGCTGCCAGCTGTAGCCCTTTGCACAGCAGTCAGCTGGCTTATTTGTGCTCTTCTTCCCCTCTCTGCGTCTCCTGCAGGTGAGCTTTTCCCCACGTCTTTAAACCTTGACCGTGGTGGCTTCTGGGCTGCTTCATCATCTGGCAGCATCCCGGCGGAGGGCTCCGGTTGCTAGTTACAATCGTGCAGCCTTCCCCTGCCGGCATCTTGCGGCTGTTCGAGCTTTGCTGCTGTGACAGCTCCGCACAAACCCCCCCAAAAAGATCATCTGAAAGTCAAAATTTCCTGACCTGTGCATGGATTTGGTGCCTTGGGAATGAGGTGACGGGGAAACCTTAGATTTAGCGAAGCACGGCTGCTCAGAGCCAAGCCCGGCGCTTCCCCGGGGCGACAATTGGGTTGCCGCAACTTTGCTATTATAACCAGCTACAAAACTGGTTTGACCTTTCTGGTGCCTGCTCAAAAGAGGTCAGCGCTTCTAACGCAAATTGTTTTGCTTCTTCCAAAAGGCGAAGGCTAAATGTCAGGTTTGATGAATGAGTGACCTTTTCATGGGGGTGGAGGGGAAACTCCTGTGCACGCTCCACCCCGCGCACCGACGTCACTTCCATTATGGGGCTGAGTAACGTTTTCCAAGAAGTCAGAGATGGTAGGTTGAAGCAGCGCCGTCATCCGTGTGGGAATCGCATCTGGCACAGACTTACTACTCTCTAACGAACGTCGGTGACCAAATCACCTCTTGCTTGTTTGAATTGAGAGCTGGAGCGAGCAAGAGGCATGACGAGGGTGGGGGGAGACCCCTCCTAGGTTGACTGGTTGCCATCAGCACCTGCTTTCCCCATCCTGCCTCGTGATGCTGGAGGTGTCAGCGTCCCCACGCGTGGTCCTGGGAAGGTGTGGTAGAGCAGGGAGCAGCACAAAGCACTGGAGAAGTATTAAACGGTGCGTCAGGATGTCTGTACGGCAGGGCGAAGGCTTGCTGAGGTCTCCACAAGGGTCTTCACCCAAAAGTAGCCCCGCTGCTTGCTGGAGTGAGATGCCCAACGGAGCAGCTTCCAGTTTGGGCGCTCAGCGGGTGTTTTGCCACGGCCCGGTACGCGGTGGCTGTCGGCACTCCTGGAATCCAGCCCTTCAGGAAGGCGAGCCTGCTCGGGGCTGCCTGCGCCCTACTTCCCCTTGCAGACCTCGAAACCTGGTGGGACGGAGGCGGATGCTCGGCAAGGGTGCTTGGGAGCTGGCCTGAGCAGGTTTCTGCCGAGCACGGGTGAGTCTCGGGCTTATCCCGGATCCAGAAGCTCCACCGTGCGTTGCTTTCCCAGGGGGGAGATCCCCAAGTGCTGCTCTCAGCCCTTCACCTCTGACGTGCCCCTCGGTGTTAGCTGCAGCGCAGCACTCGGCGGGGTGGGGGTGGGAAATAAACCCTCTGGCTGGAGGCACGTTTTGTGAGCTGACCGGCTGTGGGACGTGGTTTGCATCCACAGCTCTCCTTGCTTTGGCCCTACGTTGTGGCACCTTCGTTGTTTAGGGCTGTGAGTTTGTGTTGAACAGTGGGGTGACCCACGGGGACGAGCCAAGCCATCGCCCTGTTGCTAATACAGGTTCGCCAGGCCTCGAGGAGAAGCTCAAGGAAGGCAAAGCACCTTAAGAAAGCCTTTTCCTAGCTCTGTCGCAACACCGTGTTAGGCTGGTGCCAGCGTGGTGCTTCCCATCCATGAGCAAGAGCTGCTGAAAGAACAAAATGGCACGAGAAGGGAGGAGGAAAACTCTTACGGACTCGGCGCTGCAGTGATCCCATTGCCTTTGAGCCTGCATGCTCTGCTGAATGAGGACCCGGGTTTACAGCAGCCGTTCAGCTCTGCTTTATGCCGTCCCACGCGAGCCGGCGGGTCTCACGCCGCTACACGCTTGACAGGCTGAATAGTGAAATTTAAATTTATAGGAAAATATTACTGAGGTTAAAGGAAGGAGCCGAGCACCTCTCGCCGTCGTCTTTCCTTCCTGTGCCCTTGCTCTCGCCGAGGGTGGCCGCGGTGTTTGCCGATGCGTTCCTCTGGCTCCCTTAGCAACCTGCCGGCACGCGGAGGGTAGCCGGGGCATTGCGATATCTCCTCCCAGATCCGCGGTGAGGAGGTGGTGTGGGAACCAGACGAGTGGTACCCGAGCTGGCAGGCTATTTTGAGATCACCCCACCCCAGGCACTGGTGCTCGCGTCTCGCTAAGGGGCTGGAGCGAGCCGTGACCGGGGTGTGCAGTCAGATGCTCCCCTTTGACTCATCGACCTCGATACGGTCCGAGATAGCTCAAAACTCGTCCCGTCTGTCTCTTTAATTGCAGGTGGCTCCATGTCCCAGCTCCAGAGCTCCTGGGAAATGCACCAGCAGAGCGTGGCGTATCTTCCAAACACAGGTAAACGATAACCCTCTGCGCAGAGGACGTCCTCCTTGGGGTTGTGTCTGTCTTTTTCCTGGGAGCTTTCTCCGAGCAGCGTAGACGACTAGGACTCCTATCTAAAGGTGCTAGGACCGTTGGCTGTGCTAAGTTTCAGGTGAGGTACAGGTGAAGCCAAGACGGGGAGCAAACTCCAAGCTCCTGGGGTTGCTTTGGGAGCTGGCCGTCCCCAGGTACACCCGCTCGCCAGCCGTAGGGCCTTTGAACGTCGCGTGCCAGCTCTGCCGAGCTGCTCTTCCCCCGGCAGGGGATCAAGAGGAGTCCAAGCTTTATTCAGATCAAGCAATAGCAGTCTGGTAGACTTACAGCGAGGCGTAAATTGTAGGGTTGTCCTTTTTTTTCTGAACTCGCTTCTGCTCCAGACTCGCGGTCTGGAGTTACTGAGTGACTGATAAAAGAGTATTTTACGCAGGACGGTTCCAGCACCAGCTAAAAGCCTTTCGAAAGCAGACTAGACGCAGCTGGGCAGCAGCTATCTGCAGCGCCTCTCGAGAAAACGTTTAGCCATGCTGAAAACAAACAAACAAAAAGCTTGTTTGAAGCTCTCGAACCAACTGTTTAGCCATGCTGAAAACAAACAAAAAAGCTTGTTTGAAGCTCTCGAACCAACTTAAAACTTCTCATCCCGGGACGCGCAGAAGGGGGTAGCTCTGCCCTGTGTATGGGGAGACTGAGGCGCAGGAGCTGCCCGAGAACTCGCGGGGAAAGCTGAGCTACCGACGCAGCCTGACCTACCAAACCGCCGGTGCCGTCTGAAACCGCGGCCTCGGTGCGGTCTTCGCCAAGATTTGGCGCTATGAAAGCTTTTTAACCTTTGTTTTCCCAGTGCTTTTAAACACTCGGTCTTTCTAACAGCAGACAGGCTCCTACCGGGGGGATGTTGTAAGCCGGGGGAAGTCTATTAAAAGCTCCGGTTTAATATTCATTTCGGCGATCTGCGTTAGGAGCACCGTTTTCCCCCCCCCCCCCCTGTCTCTCCCTCCCTTCTCCTGTTGAGGATTTTTTTTTATTTTTTCTCTTTTAAACAATGCTCACCTTAGTTGCATTTGGGATTTTTTTCTCGCTTACGGGAGCTGGCGTGAGCGTGCCGCTTCCTGTCTGTGCACAAGGGAAATTCTGCGCCGGCGTACGGGCGGCGTGACCTCTTTCCCTGTGGTTTTGCAGCATCGATCTCGGCGGATTCTGGTCCCTTCAAGGCTTTCTGAAAACAAACGCGAAGGAGCGCGCGCGTGTGTGTGTGTGTGGGGGAAACCGACCTTCTGGGTTTGGGGTGGGCTATAGGGGTTCTCTCGCTGATGCGCGGCCAGCGACCGTAAGCGTGCTCTGCGGTGCGTTTAAGGCTGGGGGTATGGGAAGGGGGGGGGGGTGTGTCAGTCCTGATTTTACTGGGTACACGAGTAAATGTGTACGCGTTACTAAAAACTAGCCAGAACCTGCTTTTTGGTGGTGTTAGTGCATGGAGGCAGAGGGAACACGGAAGCTTTTCTTGCCAGATTGTGTTGAAGCCAAGGAGAACTCCTTTATTTGCATCTCATTCGCTTTCGGTGTAGCTGTGACAGCTTTACAAAATAAATACCTGGCTTTCTCTGCTCTCCCAGACATGGAGACCGTGGCTGCTAGCACTTCGCTTCCCGACCCAGCCGGCGAGTTCGACAAGAACGTGCCCCGTATCTGCGGCGTCTGCGGGGACAGAGCCACTGGCTTTCACTTCAACGCCATGACCTGCGAAGGCTGCAAGGGCTTCTTCAGGTGAGTGAGGGTCTTCGGGGCGGAGGAATCTGACTCCGCAACCAGCAAGCCTCGAGGAGCAGGCGATCCGATCCTCAGGGTGCTGCCCGGCTGCTGTTCCAGTCACCTGCGTCCCTACAAAGCTGGGCTGCAGACGGCCTTGCCGGAGCTGTGCCCGCGTTGCAGACAGCCGACACGCCGGCAAATCTTGGTAATGGAGAGATCACAAAACCGTTTCCCTTCTTGTGGCTTACCGTGGTACCCCGCTACTGGGAAATAAGTTGTTTTTCCCCTTAGCCGGAGATTTCCACCTGTCTGGGAGCCTTGCAGGCCTCCACGTGCTGTATAGGCGGGAGCGTAAGAGCCTCTGGCACACTATGGACGGCACCTGAGAAAAATACACCTGAAAACTAGCGGTCTTTGAAAACTCAACTGGTATGACGGCCGCAAACTTCTTTTCTTTAAAGCAAGCCGCCTCTAATGCCTGCTCTGAAGCTCTGTACGCTTGTGTACGGAGATGCATGGGGTCCTCTGCCCGCCCGCTGGAGCGGGCACCAAGCTCTTCCCAAAATCAGGCAGCCTTTCACTCACAACTCCGGCTCTCAGGGCGGGGGGGGGGGGGGTGTTAAAGAAGCGTGGGGCGTTCTCTGTGG